CAACACGTGGGCTTTGAAGTTGATATGTGGATGGTGTTAATCAAAATAATTAAATAGCGGCTTTAACATGTGATTATCGCCTTAAGACTGCCGGCTGTATGGAAATTATAAAGTAATAATATATTTTAAAATATATCGTGATTTAATTATTTCATTTATGGCGATGTTTTGCACAACGTCAAAATGATTTAAGTCCATGTCGGGGCAAAAGAAACTCTCGATATTTGATATACATTTTATTGGAATAAACTTGGTTACAGAAAGAGATATCCTGAAAGTAACATAATACTAACACCTTCACACTTTCGCAATGTCTTATTTAAACTCATAAAAAAACTTATTTTACAATATCAATTACCTACACAATGTAAACTATTGGTCATAGTATATTTGGACTAGAAATGTCACACATTAAATCCAGTACTGTCAGATCCGGTGATCTAGCGGTTCATGTCAGTCACAAATTTTAATTATCGATCGAACTTTTGTAAAAAAAAAACTACGACAAATAGTATTAGGTATAAAATTAATTTATTATCAATTAATTTAAATATTTGTATAAAGAAAGAACTATACAAAAATATTGTAACATGTAAATCTGTTTTATCTATTTTGCGTTCATAATGACTTCATTATAACACCGCTTTCGGTGCTGTAATGAGATACTTTATCCCACCCAAAATTTTGATTTTATACTTTAAACAGCATACTATTTTGCATATTGTTTATAATATTTTTATAATTTTTCTAGTACTTACGACATTTTTCTGGCAATAAATTTTGTTTAAAACCAAAGAAAATACTTTTTTTCTTCTTTAATATTAACAGCCGCTTATTGCAAATAAGTAAATTAAGGACGCCATGGCGAATCGATTTTGACATTATCTGTCAAACCAATGACTGTGATACCAACTATTTAAAGTAAAATTCAACCAAATTAGATTTAAGGTATAAAATTATTTTTAAATAGAATTTTTTTAAAATAGATAAAATAGCATAAAGAACTCATGTCATAAGACCTTTTATCGCACTTGTCCATTACAAAACTCGCTCCTTCGCTGCTCGTTTTATAAATTGTCCGCGTGCGACAAAATGAAGTCTTATGGCCATGTTAGTTGTCAAATTCTATAAAAATCAAAATTTATCTCTTGAAATGGACTAACAACCGTTTAAATCCGATATGGAAGCAGTTTTTTACAAAGAAAATGAAGAGGATGTTTACCCTATTGAAATAATAAAATAATTTTCACATGACAAATATATGACGTTTGATAACTGTCAACTATAAATTTAAGCCAACCTCAGCCCGTGACTAAACATGTTGCTAACTTCAGCCCGTGACTAAAACGCCATAAAGTCACAGCTTGTCAATTTGTATTTAAAAGATGGGCGTTTTAAAGGTTGAAGTAGAAAAAAGAAGATATTCCCGATTAATTCAAACTATGCAAAACGGCTAAAATTTGTAAATTTTACCCTTGATTATTTAATTCTACCATAATGTTAAAAATTGTTTAAAAATATTATCTAGATTGAAGTTAGGTTTAATCTACATTAATTGGAGTTAAGCGAATCCACAAATGATAAACAAAGATCCTTTGTATTTGTGAAGAGTCACTGTTTGATATGGATGGCATAGAGGCATAATAGATTTTTATTTTTTTTAATGAAGAATTAAAAAGCGTTAACGTGAATAGAAAATGTTGATGATAATGTAAAGTTTTTACTGTTCGTAGTGTGAATTAAAACAAGCAATTGTTTATTAACGAACTAAATGATTTATTTTATAACTTTCTTCTTCTTCTTTGTTGTCCAAAGGCCTTAATGGTCTCGGTTTCAATGTACCACTTTGACCAGAAGCAAGTTTTAACGTCCATGCGTTTCATGAAGCCATCCACCCATAGACACGTAAATTTTTTAATCTTGGTTCATCCACTCAATGTATTGTACAAATCACAAAATACCTCGCTAGAAGGTCAAAGCTTGCGATATTGTCCAAAAATACAGGTATATTTCTAGACCCGGAATCCCATTTTGTCCCTCCTGGGTCAAAGTCAGCTATGTTTCATACTTTTCATCGAGCACTGTCCCAGAGATGACGAAAGACAAAATTAAACTCGATTTTATAACTTAATTACACTTAAAACACTAAGAAACTATAAAACTAACTAAACACTTAACTACTAATTATTTATATATCACTACTGTTCAAGAGTCTATTTATTTGCACGTATAATTATTTATTTCGTCGCGAGTACCAAAACTTGGTTTACTGCTCCATGCTGCGCTGTTCCTTATATATTCAGTGCCTACGTGACACCAGTCACGCAAGCGCCTTCCCGAATATTCCAGCGAGCTCCGGACCGCTCTCGATTGCTCGAGCGCTGACTCACCGGCGATGAGTCTAAACAGTTTTATTTTTAACAATATGCAAATGGTGCACATTATTATCGCTTTACTTTACAGTCATTCAAAACTGCTTAATCTCATTCCCGGATCCTGTAATGTCCTCTAGTAAATAAGGGTGAAAATGTTTATGTTCGATTTAATCTGCAAATAAATGTGGTTATTGCAATTCCTTACAATTAAATTACCTTTTAGCATAATTCATGTCACAGTAGGGAACATTTCAAGTTTACTGCCATCAATTATCCATTATTATGTTTTGAAATGTGCTTTATTTATTAATAATTCCAATTAACAACAATCTTTATTGCAATAAATAAAAATAAAGCATACATGTTATAGTAGCCAAAGACATTTGTATATTTTATTAATATTTACATTCCTAATGATGAACAAGTCATTTTTTAATTGCCATTTATAGAGAGTAATTAAACAGATGTACAACCATAAATTTACAAGCGTAGCTCGATTTTTATAGTGCTTATATACGGCACTGGTTTATTGAGATTTTATATATTAAAAGTCATAAAACATGATTTTTATGCCCTTTATGTTAGCCAAAAGGATGCGTTCACAGAAAATTTATGTTATATAATACGACATTTATATTGCCACTAATGATTATGTTACGCGTTGCGGTCATCTTTGGCATTTATTATACTTTTTATCGTGAAAAGTGGCGTTTTTACAAGCTTTTAATTTGATGTAACTGTTTTACGAAATAAAGGAGAATGGATTGTGTTAGGTTTACACACATTTCAAAGATATATTTATTTTAACGAGGCCTGAAAATGTTAAGCGGAAGAAACACATTCTGAATTTAGTGCGTTGGAACAACGAAAAGCACTTCTGTAATTGCTTCCCAGGTTCAAGTGAAGGTTTATAAAACTGCACAAAAATCAGTTTTATCCTTACCATGTCAAATTTGACGTGGTAAGGATAAAACTGAACCCTTTAAAGGGTTGAAGTTTTTAAGTTAGAATATTTTCCACGTAGTCAATTTTTGCGAATGGCTTTTAGAGCAAAATGCCAACAGTAATAACTTTATAGGATGCATTTTAGTGATGGATGAAGCCATGTTTACCCGCAATGAAATTAATAATTTTCGCAATTGTTTGGGCAACAGAGAATTCTAGAGCTGTACTAATTTTTAAGAACTTTTTTTGCAAGATATTCTTTTGCTGGAGGATGTACCTGAAAATGTAAAACGCAACATGTGGTTATTGCACAGTGGGGCGACGCATAGTGGTGGAAAAGAGTCCAAAAACCTCTAAATGGTTCAAACTGGCAGCGATTTTCATGAAAATTTATGTAAATGGGGATCCTAAACTTGGTGGAAAAGTTATTATTAGATCATTAAAATTTTCGTATGTACGTAATATTTTTAATCCAATATGATTTCATCAATATTTTTAATTAATTTCTTGGACATTTATAGTAAATAATTAATGGAATGACCGTTTTAGTCTTTATCATGCAAAAATTATTAATAATAATAATAATAATAATAATAATAATAATAATAATAATAATAATAATAATAATAATAATAATAATAATAATAATAATAATAATAATAATAATAATAATAATAATAATAATAATAATAATAATAATAATAATGTCTTTATTGATTGTAAAAAACTTATTACAAACAAAAGGCGAAGTTCAGTACCCTACACTAGGTAGTTCACTGCTCTTCCACTTAACTAGAACTAACCCAAGTGAAAAAAACTAAAGGTATTTCAAATGATACATTTCATTTATAGCCAGAAGGAAAAGTAAATTAAAAGGTGGTTATTAACTTATTATGTAAATAAGTCATAAAAGTAATTCTAAAGCTTCAGGACTATAAGGAAGTATTTTTTTCTTATATTGTGGTGTTAGACTTGTGATGAATGAACCTGAACCAACCAAAATACCATAAAAAACGTCAATAAAACGTTTGAAAAATTTATAATCTTTGTTCCTACACTCTTGAGCTTCCCCTGAGAGTGAGCCTATAGGAAGAGCGGCACATTCAATAATCTCTGCTCCTTGGAAAAGAATTTTGTAAATTGATGCAGGAAGATAATACCACGAGTATAATGTTGTAGCCAGAATAGCAGTTTCAGAACAATATTCCTTGAACTTGATGTTTTTAATTGGTGAGAGGAAGCAAATTACCTCCAGAATCACTCCAAGTCATCTATCAAGTTATCTATTTTTGTAATATTAGCCACTCCTAAAAAGTACCTCAGCTTGTCATATGGAATCACTAACTCTACCATATTAAAACACTTGTCGCAAGGTTACTAACATCAATAGAATAAGCACAAAATGAAAATATTTTATGAAAAATGGAAGGATTCAAAAATCCAATGTTTATATTAAGGTTGATTGATATTATTATTTGAGCTAGTACGAGCCAGTGAAAACGTTTATTCAATATAAATTCAAATTTGGAATATGCCCTATTTATCTGACTAACCTCAAATGTTTAAAGATTTATTTACAGCCAAAAAGTTCACTTTTCACTTTTATTTTTATTTTATTTAGAATAATTAATTTTGGAATTACCCAATTGTATTTCACATCTTTTTCTTTGTTTGTTTAAGGATCAAGGGAAGCGGCTTTCACCTACGCCATCTCAAGCGCCGGTGTAGCGTACGCGGTGACAGCATCTTGTGCCAGGGGTAACATCTCGGCGTGCGGGTGCGCCCCAGGTCCCAAGATGCGGGAGCCAGGGCCTTCTGGATGGAAATGGGGTGGATGCAGTGTCGACATAAACTACGGAATTCGTTTCGCAAGGAAGTTTATGGACGCCAGGGAGTTCGAAGGAGACGAGAGGAGTCTGATGAATTTACATAATAATAAGGCAGGAAGAAAGGTATTATCATTGAAAAATTGCAATAATGTTTAATTATATATATATATTTAAGTTTTATCTAACCTATCAGGTAAACAAAATTATATATTAATATAATAATATTAATAATAATAATAATAATAACAATAATAATAACATTGTAGGTAAATTTTTAACTTTTGAATAGATCCATAAAAACGCGTAAGCCTATTTTTTTGGTGTAGAGTTCAGTAGTGTAATCAGTTTTTCAAAGTTAGCTCGTTTTCTTAAGATATTTAATATTTTAGTTTGTAACTTTTTTAAAAATACCAAAAAGACACAACAAACGCCGGGACATGTAAACCTAATTTTTGGGTGTAGAATTCAGTGGTGCAATCCGTTTTTTAAAGTTAGCTCGTTTTCTCAAGATATTAAATATTTAAGTTTTTTGTTTTACCATTTTGCTACATTTTTAAAGAAAAATATACCATAACCGGTTTTAAAATGTCGGTATTTATTTTAAATTCATAAATTTTCGTCTCTTAAATTAATAACTTTCGTGTATTATTCATATTTTTGTAATTAAATTTGTTTTAGTAAATTTTATTGTGTGGTATTAGTAGGAAATATTTGAATTTAATAAAATTTGAGAATTTCATTAACTTTGCTATTATTTATTTATTTTTTTACACAAATTTTACTAATATACTAAAAAGTACAGCCTGTATAAATGTTGTTTTTAGTATTTACAATTCGAATTGAAAGAATTCTTTGTTACAATGTTTTTGTGTTTAATTAAGTACCTATACATATATGATATATAGCTTAAAATAACAATTTTAAAAATTTTAAATCAACCATTCCTCAAAATGAATTTCGAAGAAAGTACTGCTCATCGTAAAAAATTAAATTGTTTTTGTTTTGTGTGCGGGAAATTTACACCAAAAGCGCATAGGCGACATTTGGTTCAAGATGCGCTAAAGTGTTACAGTTACTATTTTGCAATATGACTGGCTGAGCATTTAAGAAATGTCGACTATGCACCTGAATTTACGTGTATCACTTGCTTTGCTCTTAACAAGTGGTGGAAGAAAAAACAACGATCTTGCAATCCCTATGGCTTGGTCATGACTTTAACAATTGTTATGCCTGTGCCAATGAATATATATATATAGCAAAATAACAAAATAATAATTAAAAAAATATTTAAACACAAAATTTTAAATATCTTGAGAAAACAACCTAATTTTAAAAAAATGGTTACACCACTGAATCTTACACTCAAAAATTAGGTTTACATTTCCCGACGATTTATTGTGTCTTTTTGGTATTTCTTAAAATAGGTATACACAAATAATAAACCAAAAAGTTACAAAAACTCAAATATAAAGTATCTTAAGAAAACGAGCTAACTTTAAAAAACTGATTACATGTAATCAGTGGTGCACCACTGGATTCTACGCCCAAAAATTAGGTTTACGTCTACCGGCGATTTTAGGTGTCTTTTTGATGTTACTACTGTGTAATAATAATAATAATAATAATAATAATCATGTTAACATGTACAAATACATTTACATAGGCTAGAAGAAAGAAATGACAAACTAAAGCTTTAAAGAAAGAAAATATAACACAAAATAACATTCATTTTTAAAAATTATATGCAATAAAGTGCAACTCCGCCATAAATTTGGTTAGACCTACAAAATTTATAAAGTGAAACATAATCATAGAAAACAAGACTATTAAAATCACTGTTTTTCATCCAGAGTTCATTTATAGAAATAAGTTGGAGGATTTATCCTCCAAAAATGCTTCCTATTGAATGGATTTATTTTTCAAATATTGAATATTAATATGAAAGATTTAACTTCACTCCAATTTAATTGTTTTTCGGCACAATTTGATTCACCTAAAAATATAAGTTAGAGCCAAAGCAAGTTTATACTTTTTGATTGTTTTTTATGACGTGTTTTCTAAAACTTCCAGTTTGTTATTTCTTGTATTAATTTGAATTTTATTATCTGAACTATTCGACGAATTTTCGACGCCTGGCAAAAACAACTCGCCAACCATGAATAATTCCAATACGAAAACTTATGTATCCCATACAAGACGAATAACAAATAACAAATGTAGTGTAGTCGGCCGGGTTCCCATGGCCTTCTTCTCGATTTTTTTTCGCGTATTCCGCGCTCCCTTAATTGACAGAAGCTGAATGATGGACCGGCCAGGCCTTCTCTGATTGTAAAGTCCACTCATTGAAACCTATTTAAATGCACCCATCCGCGGACACACAATGGACAGGAATTTTAGTGCCACGGCTACTAAATAGACGACGTTTTTGCGATCCGAAAGATATCGGCGGCTAAATGCACCGCTCCTGAGCGCATTCAATTTTTTAAGGCTTTGCTATTCCAATTTTGAATAGCAGATTTTAAACACACACAAGTTTCCAAGTGAAGGGGTCAATGCAAGAAGTGCCTTAGTCACAAATAGGTGATTCTGAGATATTGCGGTTTGAAGGTTTATTTTTGATTATGAAATATTACACAAAATATTATGATGAAAATGTGTGTTGTATTGTATTTTTTGTGAAAAGTGGATTGGACTTCCATTATTAAAAAAGAAAAAGGTTTATTATATTATAACGCCTTAAAAAATTATATAAATTGTGAACAAAACTTAAGATTAAGACATAACTTAGGACATAACTTAAAGCAAAACTAAGAATATAATTAGAAGGCTGGCTATTCATAAACAGCGTCGGCCTCTTGTAACTGATCAATTTCTTTGTCAATGACATCATTTTGCTGGATTATACATTTTCAGCAAAAAAAAGGTAACTAATATGTTTTAAGGTTCCACAATCTATTTTATTTTACTTTACTCACCTGCCATAGTTATGTTTTTAATCACATACACAAATTTTTAAGATTTACACAGTTTAATAGGTAATTTTGCATCTGTCAAAATGATGACTTAGGTACTATGCTCCACACCTCAAAGTCCCACCACGTGACCACGTACGGAACGCAGTCTTTTGAAAAGTTGGCATTTAAGGCTTTTCAGGTTATGTATCTGTCAAAGTATAGTCAATGAAAGAAATAATATTTATAGTGTTACCGCTTATGTTTAAGCATTAAAAGTTAATAAATCTTTATAGTATCACAATAACAATGGTTGGTTCAAGAATTTAGGAATATAAATACTGCATTTAATGAAATTCCAAAGTGTAAGGTGCAATATAAGAGATATTTTTGTGCATTGGGTCTAAATTTCTCCATAAAATAGTTTTAACTAAACAGCATTTATTAAAAAAAATCTAACTTCTCTATTATGAAATAAGAATATCTGTATCAAAGGTAGGTTAATGTATTAGAACAAAAAATATCATCTAATTTTGTATTTTAAGGTTAGAAAAATCTATTTTGACAAAAATAAATAAGTGGATTATTTAGAAAAATGTGTTAATATGGTCATTAATAAATATAGGTATACTAAATAATTGTTGAATATGGTTGAAATTAAATTGAAGCTTTTATACTTCTAATGACAAAACTTGTGCGTACCTCTCGGCATACCTACTTTAAGTTATATAAGAAAACAAACAATTTTTAGAGAAACTTGCAATATTAAAAATATTTAATACTCCCATGACATGTGATTTATTAAATTTTTTAATGTTATAATGATTTTTCGATGTAGATCAAGTTCAGTCAAAGCTTTTTAACTATTTGTATTGACAAAACTTTATGTAGGTACACTTTAAGCTGGATAAGAAAAACTACCACATTTTTAAATACCATATTATACAGTCTTTTATATAATCCAAAATACTTATTTATTTTGGTCAAAATAAATTTTTCTAACCTTAAAATTACAAAATTAGATGATATTTTTGTTATAATATATTAACCTACCTTTAAAACAGATATTCTTATTCCATAATAGAGAAGCTAGATTTTTTTTATAAATGCTGTTTAGTTAAAATTATTTTATGGAGAAAACCAGATATTTGGACCAAAATCACAAAAATATTACTTATTTGGCACCATACACTATAGAATTTCATTAAATGCAGTATTTATATTTTTAATTTCTTAAACCATCCATTGTTATTGTAATGTTATAAAGATTTATACATTTTTAACGCCTAAACATAATAATATTTCATTCGTTGACCATACTTTGACAGATACATAACCTGAAAAGCCAAATTTTCAAAAGACTGCGTTTCGTACGTGGCATTGAAAACCAGGTAAACTCCCATTAAAGTAAATGCAAACTAAGGCACTTAGACACATATTTCTGCCACTCTGCAAATACCAACTGAAAGCTTGAGTGAAACACTCTTAGATAGCGCAACAATGTCAATTTTATTGTAAATGTGACTTAGGCACTTCTGGCAATGACCCCTTCAAGTACTTTCACAATATACCATTTCTTACATACTATTTTTTAAATTTTGGTGATTTTGTTTAAATGTAAGGTATTTTTTAGGCTGTGAAACTGAACCTGTTTACCGAATGCAAGTGTCACGGCGTCTCGGGCAGCTGCACCATGAAAACCTGCTGGAAAACCCTCCCGAACTTTCGGCAGGTGGGCGACAGCCTGATGAAAAAGTACTACAAGGCGAAACCGGTGGCCGCCACTTCGGCTCAACCTGGGCCCAGGGGACTGGACGCGCAGCGCAAGCCCAAGAAGGTTAATCTGGTGCTGAAGAAGGGCCGGATACCGGTGAAGAAGATGCCCAAAAAGTCAGAGCTGGTGTTTTTGCAGATGTCGCCGAATTATTGCGAGAGGGATTTGGCCAGCGGTTCGTTGGGCACGGTGGGAAGGGCTTGTAATAGAACGTCAAAAGGTATGTTAATATATATGATATAAATTATATTTTCAATAAAGCTTTTGCTTTGCAAATTATTAAAAATATATACTTGGGTCATTTTCAAGAAACACCCGCTTTTAGGAAAATGAAGATCAAAATTTTTTTTTGCTTAAATTGACTTTTGGTTGGATTTTTATAAATGTTTAGAGTTTTGTTTACTTACATTTAAGACAGGCAGTGCACTTTTTATTTTTTTTTACGTTTTTTTTAGAAAAATGTGTTTAGCTAGCTTTAAATCTCCACTGTGTTACCAATTTGAAATCCAAAATTTAATTCAATAAAAAAAGTTGTTATAGAAATAATTTGAAATAAAATGTAGGTACTTAGTTCACAAACTTTTGACTCAATTTTTTTATTTTATTTTTTATTAAAAATAGTATGCTTTTTTTAAATATGTTCGTTAAGTTACTTTTTAAAAGAAACCATTCCGATTCTTTGTTAAAAAAACAATACCATTAATATTTTTATTTAATATTTCTTTTAGTCACTGAATTAGTGAGTTAAACTCTAATTTATAAACAGGTATTACCAAGTGATAGTGTATAAAAATCATTTTAAGTATTTTTTTAACAAAAAAAGTAACGAAATAGACATTGGTATCACAACGAACTGGGGTACACATTGTGTACTACACAAAGGACTTAATAAGATAACGTAAACAAGAAACTATAAGGGGTGGTACGATTTTAGAGTAATGCATAAACAAAATCCCTTGTAGTGGTGCTCACTTGCAGAATAACAACTTAGATTTCTAAATTATAGACACCCTTTTTCTTTGACTATAAGCTGATGAAGGTCTCTTTTAGTACTTGTATTTTGCGTGGAATTTTCCCTTGGATGTAATCTATATCATGAGTTGTAATCACAAATAATTTTTAATTGGTTTATCATAAACTACTTTTAATAAAAGCGACGGTAAATATCCACTTTGTGGTCGAAAAATTCTATAGCGTTACCCTAAATTTCATTGCGTTACCATAAGGTAACATAATGGACTGGTAACGCAGTGGAAAAAGTTTTGTGAAACCATATTTAAAAAATAATAATAAGATATTACAGTCATTAATTACTCTCAATGAGCTTTAGTGTCCTAAAATAAACATAAACATGACAAATAGTATTTTTTCTTACCTTATTTTTATTATTTTTTTGAGTAACTTAGCGGACAAACAATTATTACATTCGCGTTACCCGCACCAGTTTCAACCGATATCTTCTTCCTGAGTGAATAAATAAATTCAGCTGGGTAATGTGTACGTCCGAACATCATTTGTTGATCACGTGAGTGCCAAAAAAGTTGCCATATATATGTTTTTTTAATATTCTATCGGTAACGCGACGGACGTAACGCAACGGAAAAAATGTCTGGGACATGAGTCAAATTTAAAAAAAGTATATTAAAATTAATTATTTTATATATAAATTGTTTACTGTATTAACTAAGGATGTTATGGATTGCTATAAAGCAACACAAAGTTCTGGTTCTTTCAATATGCAAAGATACACTTATTAAAAAACTTTTTATCTTCTCCTGTAAAGTTTTCCATTTTGGCGTCCTCGATATATTAAATTTGTTGTAGGTATGAATGGTTGCAACATGATGTGCTGTGGCAGAGGATATAATACTCATCAGTTTACCAAAACCGAACAATGCAGATGCAAATTTCACTGGTGTTGTGAGGTTACTTGTGATACGTGCAGTGAAAAAACTGAAGAGTATACTTGCAAATAACCAAGAGCTCAATGATTGGAATCTTTTTTTATTCCACAAAAGTCTCGAATTAGTACTTTTATCATATCAAATTGTATTTTACTCATTTAACCCTACTGATAAAAAAATTATCGTCCATGTATATAGTTTTAATATAAAATATTTCATATTTAAGAATGTGTTAAAATAACTAAATTGCATTAAGTTACCAAATCCAACATTCCTTTGTATTATTGGTGTTAAACACATTGTAAATAGGTTTTAACGAAAAAAAAAATAAGGTTTTAATCCTTTTTTTTTTGTTAAAGTACGTGTTTTGTGTAATTTTTGTACAAATATTTAGCGCTTAGCTCCCAGACAATATAATTGAAATATTGACAACTAATTAAGTACCTATTTATGTGTAGCTTTTTCCAATTTAGATAAGTATTTATTTCAGTAATTTTATAACTAGTAGATGTAATCTATCTGTATATTGGCAAATAAAATATTTCTACTCATTAGCAATTCGTTTTATTTTACCCTTAAAAAATAAAATTCTCAATACATTTTGTAAATTTTTTTTATTAAAAAGTTTTACACAATTTTTTATACAGGTTGTTTTGCTTTTCATGGATTTTTTCATAAAATTCATTCGTTCATTCCTGGCTTCGGCTAGTGGTGTTACAAATAGAGGGGTTATACTAAGAATAAGAACAATATCCTAAATCGTTCTATTTTTTAATAATAAGTTAACAAAAAGTAATATAAACAATATTAAAAATAAATTAACTTTAATTTGGTTTTGTACAAAAATATTAAGAAGTAGGTAGGTAAATAAAAAATAAAAATAACATATTGCTCAAGAAAATTGTGAAATAGCTGCAGATTATGTCTTCTCAAGAATTTTCAACAGCATGCCTTAGTTCATTTCGGTTTGCTGGCCTAAAGTCCCGTTGATATAGTTTTTCAACTATAAAACCACACACGTTTTCAATGGGGTTTAAGTCAGGACTTCCAGCTGGCCTATGCGGTTGTTGTTTACCCGCTCTGTAACCTCGCGAGCTGTGTGAACTGGTGCATGGTCCTGTAATATAATATTTATTAGAATCATTTTTGTATACCATACAGTTTTCTAACATGTTGGAATATAAAATTTTCTGGAAAGACATGTCTAACTGAAGGTAGCATAACGTTGTCCGAAATCGTCGTATCAATTTGCCAACCTATTCCCGCACCATGGACTCTTATCCACGGCCAAACATTTATGGAAAAGCGTCCACTATTTGAGGTTCTTAATGTGTAGTTCTCCTCAAATCTTGCGTCTCTTGGATGATATACACGCAGCCTTCCATTATTGCAAGATTGGATCGTTTTTTCATCAGATCATTATTTCATAATTTATATGGTCATTGGCGAACTGGAATCTCCTGCGCTTATTTTCGTCAGTTAAAAAACCTTATGAGCAGCAGCACAGTTTTTTAAGCCAGCTTGTTTTAATATTTTTTAAGCTGTTCGAAGAGATCCTGGAAATTTTGTATCTACTTCTTCTTGTATTGAAAGGATTTTGCCTTATATATGCGACAAGAGCATTGTCTTCATTTTTGTTGGAGATATTACCTACACCTTGCTTGATAGATCTTCTCATCATTTTTGTTCTTGCCAACGTTTCTTGATATAAAATATACAGCTTTTACTGACATTTAAATCTGCAGCGACTTTACTTAAAGACCAATTTTCTTCTTATTTGGCTATTGACTATTTGACTTTTAACATGTTTTCTTTACAGATTTCAAAAAATCAAACCGCAGTTTTTATAAGGGGGACCAAGGTAATTTTTTTCTAAAAAACATGAAATCGAAAGTTGCCCAATTAATTTTTTAACATGATTTCTTTACTAATTCGACCACGCTGATTTCAAAAGATCATACCGCAGTTACGATAATTTCTTTATAAGGGGGACCAAGGCAAATTTTTTTGGAAAACACGAAATCGACAGTTGCCCAACAAATTTTTTAATATGTTTTTTTTACTAATTCGACCACGCTGATTTCAAAAAATTAAACCTCAGTTTCGTAACTCTGCGCTTTTGAGAGTTTCACCCGAAAACCGCGATATTTTCTTTATAAGGGGGACCAAGGCAAAATTTTTGTGAATTTAGGTGAATGGCCCAAATGAGAAAAAAATGAATAGGTGAGAATAAGAACAGTACAAGTCCAAAATTTGACATTTTCATCTGAAATATACATTTTGTTTTAAATTCGAAGCAGCATCGAAGAAGTAGAAGAACATTTGTAAAATCGGCTTGTTAAAGTGTTTGTCAGAGCTAACTATGAATCATTGAAAATAAGAACAGTACAAGTCCTGGAACTATACCTACTGGTCTTATTCCCAATAAATGTTGTTGATTATGGACATTATATACCTACTAAAAGTTTAGGTGGTCATGCTCATGAAAGCTGTGAGTTGGTATTTTAGGCTGCTTAAGTGTAAATTACAACAATATCTGATAGTAGCGAAAATGACACAAGACGTAGAAAAAATCCAGAACGATGAAAAAGTAATAATAGAAAGTTTGCAGCGTGGTGAGTTTTATATGTCTACATCTGTAAAAGTCGTCGAAGAAAAAAGAACTGAACCACCATGTAATGAAAAGAAAATAAATTATATAAAAAATATAATGTAAGTACTATGCTCCACACCTCAAAGTCCCACCACGTGACCACGTACGGAACGCAGTCTTTTGACAATTTGGCATTTAAGGCTTTTCAGGTTATGTATCTGTCAAAGTATAGTCAATGAAAGAAATAAAATTTATAGTGTTTAAGCGTTAAAAGTTAATAAACCTTTATAGTATCACAATAACAATGGTTGGTTTAAGAATTTAGGAATATAAATACTGCATTTAATGAAATTCCAAAGTGTAAGGTGCAATATAAGTGATATTTTTGTGCATTGGGTCTATATTTCTCCATAAAATAGTTTTAACTAAACAGCATTTATTAAAAAAAATCTAACTTCTCTATTATGAAATAAGAATATCTGTATCAAAGGTAGGTTAATGTATTAGAACAAAAAATATCATGTAATTTTGTATTTTAAGGTTAGAAAAATCTATTTTGACCAAAATAAATAAGTGGATTATTGGGAAGAGTGTGTTAATATGGTCATAAATATATATAGGTATACTAAATATGGTTCAAATTAAATTGAAGCTTTTATACTTCTAATGACAAAACTTGTGCATACCTCTCGGCATACCTACTTTAAGTTAGATTATAAGAAGACAAACAATTTTTAGAGAAACTTGCAATGTGAAAATATTTAATACTCCCATGACATGTGATTTATTAATTTTTTTTTAAGTTATAATAATTTTTCGATTTAGATCAAGTTCAGTCAAAGCTTTTTAACTATTTGTATTGACAAAACTTTATGTAGGTAGGTACACTTTAAGCTGGATAAGAAAAACTACCACATTTTTAAATACCATATTATACAGTCTTTTAAATAATCCAAAATATTTATTTATTTTGGTCAAAATAAATTATTCTAACCTTAAAATTACAGAATTAGATGATATTTTTGTTATAATATATTAACCTACCTTTAAAACAGATATTCTTATTCCATAATAGAGAAGCTAGATTTTTTAAATAAATGCTGTTTAGTTAAAATTATTTTATGGAGAAAACCAGATATTTGGACCAAATGCACAAAAATATTACTTATTTGGCACCATACAATTTAGAATTTCATTAAATGCAGTATTTATATTCTTAAATTCTTAAACCATCCATTGTTTTTGTAATGTTTAAAGATTTATACATTTTTAACGCCTAAACATAATATTATCGTTGACTATACTTTGACAGATACATAACCTGAAAAGTCTTAAATGCCAAATTTTCAAAAGACTGCGTTCCGTACGTGGTCACGTGGTGGGACTTTGAGGTGTGGAGCATAGTACATCAAGGGAGAAGATCTAGAGTTTTACCACCATGTAACATCCTGGCCAAATACTAATACGGATGATGATTAGGGTTGGGAAAATTTTACTTTTTCCTTGTACTTCAAATTTCACTTGAAATTTCATGTCATTTATGAAATTTATTAAAACTTCCAAAATTTCTGAAATTTCATGAAATTTATTGAAACTTTCAATAAATTTCAATTACTTTAAGTGTAAATTATACTGTATAATATATTAATATTGAAATAAGCTCACTCGGGGACCATGGCAAATTGCCTCTCTTACCTCCTACCCCTCTGTGGGCCCCTGCACCAATAATATATAATATATATATAGTAAATACCTATTGGTAACTGAATTAAATTAATTTATGCATTTAAGTAACAATAATTACTTAAATTAATTATAGTGTATTCAAATCCAAGCCGAACTAAACAAAAACGCCCAGACGCTTGATAACTCGTTCTTATTGGTCGATTCGGAATCTGTTGTAAATTATAATTAAAGGTCCCAGGGGAGGCCGCATGTGAAATTTATGCGAAATATTCAGTAAATTGCAAAACTTTTAATGAAATTTCTGAAACTTTCACAGGCAATGTTGAAATTTTCGGATTGAAAATTTCATTTGAAATTTTTAATAATTTCACTTTTCCAACTAAATGAAATATTTCAAGTTTGAAACTTTCAAAGTTGAAATTTTCATTTGAAAATTTTAACTGTCCCAACCCTAATGATGATGCCCGTATACAAAACTGATTATTTAATATTTTTGTTCAAAAAATTGCTTTTTAACCAATAAAAATGCTTCTTGTGCTTTTAAAAAAAAGCACTAAAGATTATTATAAGAATTCTGTTTCAGAATTTTATTGAGATTAAGAACAGTACAAGTCCAAGTTTATTTTTTGTGTATAATAAAGCATGCGAGTGGTAAAATTTTTTTTTTTAGATTAATGGACGTCTAAACTCATGCACCACAGCTTGCCTATACCTTTAAAACTGAAAAAATCCTAATAAATAAAATAAACAGTTTATTTTGTTTCCTAAAAATTCATATTCTCATCGATACAATTAATATCTTTTTCGTGTTTAGCGCACCCAAATTACCTTAAAAAAATGTAAGAGAAAGTTTTCATATTTTTGCTGTAAATCAGTGTTATTTAATTAACAAAAACCTATTATTTCTTCTTAAATTCTAATTTTCCGTAAAATATTTTCTTAGAGAATTTAACATTTTTTGTTATTTGTTGGATAAAAAATTTGTTTAAATATTTTTTTTCTTTTTTTTGTACTAAAATTGATTGAGATATGGTGCTCTTTATTTTCAACTCAATTTTTTTTTAGGTAAAAAAATTGTTTATCGTAATTACTAGGTGATTCCGTATAAGATTGGTTGTATGTGAAGGTTACCGGGACATCGCGCCATCTCTCTGTGAATAGCCGCACCCTTGCGCCTGAAATCCGCGACTTGACGAATCCTTTCAGCGCAGCTGCACACAATTTAGTTCAAGGCCGCATAGAGCCTGAAAGGTTGGTATCCGCACTGTGTGACCCATTTCCATTTAATACGTTCCCGCACGGCGCTTCTGCGCGACCTTAAGGATGAAAATCGCACGCCCCCCCTAACTAATCTATTAGTTTGTAAGAGATTCCTAGCAAGTAAAGAGTTGAAGTAAAAGTGGGATGTTAATTTTCTGTACGGACGGATTGGGGTGCTGATTTTTCGAGTAAATCGGAGGTTTTTTAATGTGGACAGTGTAGGAGTCGCGTGTAGGTGCGCGCGTCGGTTTACGCTACACCCGTTCATTGATTAAAAAGGTGCTGGAAGAGCGGTGTTGTGCGTTGGAGGAGAGTGCAGAGAGTCGGTGGCACGAGAGAGAGTAGAGACAATTCAGTGTCCCGTGTGTGACATGACATGAGATGTCCCGTGACGCGTACGTTGGGGGCACCCGGTCCCCAAGGGGTGTGAGGCTGCCCACTGTGGACCGGTCCCCCAGTCGAGCTTACCCAGGCGGCAGTCCGTTGGGCAGGAAGCCGCTGAGGCAAACGAGATCGGGCAACAATTCGCCGGATCACTCGTACGGTTATCATCATTCTTCCTCGTATTACCGGGACGAGGACCTGGGCAGCCCGATGCTGGAGGAACGCGGAAGGCCCATGACGGTGGGCCCAGGACATCACCGTTCCAGGAGCGCCACCAGGTAAAATGGGCCCCCTTCTACTTCTACCCACTTCTACCCACTTACACACCACACAATATCGACGACTCTCCCTAACAAACACAGAAATCTGCACACCATAATAATCCCACTCGAAATTTTGTAACCTATTGATCTGCTAAATTTATCACTTCAAAACCACCGAAAGATTAACCACCAAACCACAGAACATAACAATATAGCATAATCTTCCAACATTTTAATTTAGAGTTGTGGCATAGAAGGTTGTTAAATGTTTAACAATATAGGCTATTTAACGCGTAACAATCTATTATTAACAATTTATGAATTTTTACTGATTCCTTAAAATATCATAATAAGATTAAAAGACCTACATTTTAAATTTAAACCACCACAAATATTTACATTTTTATAGTAGAGATAAATTGAGTTCTCAAAGGATTGTGCAATTTTATAACCATAGATGCATATTTAATGCGCAACAATGCTTATTCGGGAATTTTTATCGATCATTCCTTTAAAACGAGATCATACATTTTCTTGATACGAAATATAGATAAGGATATTTTGGGCCCTCTTGAAGATTTATTGGTTATTGTATCCACTTTAACATACGCGCGAAATGCATATTTGGCTTCAAAGAAGGAACCGAAAAACAATATTGATCTATGTTATTTTTGCTTTATCAACATTGTTGGTATATAAAAGGAAAAAGCTCGTGGAGGGCTGGCAAATATCATGATATTTATATAAATATCCAAATATCTGATATATATCGATATAAATTCGATATATATTAAAATTTGGATATTTATTTCTTTTTTTTATTATAACCATTTTCTGCTTAAAGAATTAAAGATATATGTTTAAAATTCAAAATTACTTAATTTAATATAATTTTAAAATTTTATTTTATAAACATGTAAGTTTATGAATATAAACACATCATATATTTTTGCTTAAAACAAAAAAAATTGAAAAACTACAACAGCCAACAGAAAATAAAATAAAAAACAATAAAAGGGGTAAAAAAGGCTGGCTAGAAACAACTTGTTTTAAACAAGTAAGTTTAGGACGAAATCAGTTTGGCTAATGGTATATCCAGATCCGAATCTTCATTTTCATTTGTAGAGGAATTTTCTAAATTTTCTGTTGCTCTAGCCGAATTCAATCAAGATCAGGTTTCTTTAAATGGACTCTGTTGCGCAAATATTTAAACAAAAATACTAGTTTTCCATACATTTATACTTATAGTCCTGGAGCATAAAGCAATAAAATATTCTCCGTGGGATTTGTTATGAAGGGATGATGGGACTATATGGGATAGCTTTTTTATACCTTTTTGAGTTGTGTGGTACCGGGTGTTTACCTTGAAAATATGTCTGGTGGTGTTTATGGCATTTCTAATCAAAAATGTCCACCATTTTCGACATTCATTTATAAAATGCCAAATAATTAATTTTATTGTGCCCTTTGAAATAAATTACATTTGACATTTTTTGATTGTCATATGACCGTGTATCGAAACAATTTGTATAATTTTATGGGCCGTCAAATTTGATGGCCCATCAATTTTTTTAGCCTCTATCAACAGTGACTTTTTTGAAATAAAACTGTTTTAGCAAATTTAAGTAGTTTCAAGGTGATTTTGGTGCGCTAAACACAAAAAACTTTTCTTATTTGGCCCATTCACCTAGATGACGGTATATTTTTGTTTTTTAATTTAAGATTTAAGAGCTTATGGCAAATCCGATATACCTATGCCAAATCCGATACATGGTTTGAAAGGTGATAAATTTCGCATCCAACCGTAAAAACATCGTTTTAATCGAATCAAAAATAGATGAGTTACAGCTCATTAAAGTTCAAATTTCTTGAAAAATGGCTCCAAATCCATCAATGCAAAATATAAAAATATAACAATATGTCAGTTTTAAAAGCCAATATTTTCCATATTTACCATTTGAAATAAAAAAAATGTTTTAAATCATTTTTTTTTCCTTTTTTATGGTTATTTTAAGAGATTCTATAATTTTTTTTTAATAGGACCACTAATTACAAAATTATGCGACATTTTATAAACGCATACCTGAAATAACAGTTAGGTATCGGATTAATGACGTCATAAAAAATTGACACATTTTTAAACAAAACACCCGATAATACACTACTGCCTTGTGCATAAAAAACTGATTTCAGATAGTTTCATCTTCCCTTCACAAAAAATCCCACGGGATGCACTATGCTCCAAAACTATTACTGATGAATAGAATTTAAAAAAAAAATATTGATAAATATCAGGATAAATATCGTTGCATAAATATCATGGTATTTATTACTAATATATATCCTGCCAACCTTGTCGAGGACATATCCTGACCTCATCTCGACGACCAATTCTGAATTCAGAAAAAATTCCTGTGCCAGACCCGCCAGAAGAAAATCTTTAGCGTAGAAAGCATATTAATGAATCTAATGCATCCAGCGTCAACGAACTTAAAAAAGCAAATAAGGTAGATGATTACTTTTAGGGAACTACTTTGAAACCTGAACTTTTACATGGAAGCGACCTCATAAGAAACCTGGCCTCTCAAAAATTTCTGCAGAATTATTTACATCAAGGAAAAATAACATTTACCTACTTGCTTCATGGAGGTTCTTAAACTTATGCTGCCCGTTTCTTCTAAAGACTATAATCTTGTTTTCTTTATTAAAAAAACAGCAGTAAATTTTGATTTTTTCTAAAACACAATTTTTTTTAGAAATCTTGTGTGCGGTTTGCACTCTTTGGGATTATTTGCCATTAACTAGGACAATTTTTATAATAATAATAATAATAATTTTATATGCAACGGTTAACAACAAACATTAGATACTACCAATTACATTTTTATCCAGTACAGTAAAAAAAATATAAAATTAGTTAACTTAAAGAGAACACAAAAAAATTAAAACATTTGCAAATAATGATTGAAGAGCAACATTAAATTTCCTAATCCTAATTCAACCCAACCCAACATAACTTAACCTAACCTAACTTAACCTAGACCACTAACCTAACCTATCCTACATCACTTTACATGACCCTATATTTTTTAGATAAATTAATATAAAAAGCCTGCTCTATATTTTCACAAAACTATAAACGCAACAATAACAAACACAACAAAACGCATCAATCACAAATGGCTAAGCAATAACATTGATTTGCACCTCCTTTTAAATTGTACTTCATTTAGAAGCTTTAATTCCTTGGGTAACTCAATGTATATATTGTAGCTAAATGATCTTTCAGTGATTAAATATCTTTTGTGATTTTCATAAAAATATAACCAATATTTTTGATCTTACAACTTTTTTTATGAAATTTAATAATTATTGTATAGGGCAAAAATAGATTTTTTTGCAATATCTTTAAAACAAGACCCAAGAAAATAAAATAGATGTTATTTTTGGATTCAACGGGCCCAAAATACCCTTGAAAACTTACTCACAACTCTGCGCCAAATATTTGTTTTCTTCTGTATACCAATGTTATTATTATTCTACATTAAAATATGAAATATGTATAAACTATGTATTTAATAAATTAAACAAAAATGGGACATAATAAAAATTTCCTATTTATTTATTAAAATTAATTTTTAAGATAATTATTATAGTTAAATAGAATTTTTTATTTTTAATCAATTATAATTATTACTCTATCATCATTACAATTGATTTTAAATTAACATTTTTAAAAATTTATAAATTTATGAACACAAGCAATGTTCTAGCTTTGTACTATTTTTTTTTTGAATATCGCTACGTACTCATGGACAGTAGACGGTGGCTAATTACATCTCACCGCTGTCGCTGTACTTGTTTGCATATATAAGGCCATGGTAGCGTGTTTCCAGCGTGCTTACAGACCACGACCATACTGATGATGTATAATAAGACGAAACAGACTTACCTGAACTCGAAGAATTCACCGTTATTTTTTCAAATGAGAAGTGGTTTATTGTGATACATCTTTTGAAAAGGCCTTAAATTTTCTTTAAAATAGCGCTTCGTTTTTTAAATTTGAGCTACGCGTTGGCGAACAATGGAATTCCGAACATTTTACTCGAACGCTTGTTTAAAAATTTCGTAAAGCGAAAAATTCGTTGTTTTTAAACCAAGAAATAACAGTCCGAAAATCGATTTTATCATCAGTAAAGTTGTTAATGTGAATAGTTCGTTATTTCTGTGCTTTTATTTTCTTTCGATTCGATAAAAAATAATAATCATAATTATAAACAATCAATACGTATATGCTATATATAGCATATATATATATATGACTATATAAACAGTTAATATATTATTAAAACATAATATAAATAAATTTATAATAAACTTCTACCATATTTTTTAGGAAAGTAAATATTTTTCCCTATAAATCAATAAAAATTATCATTTGTCAAATTATTAAGAATTTTGGATCTGCATTCCATTAAATATACGCATATATTTATTTTCAAGTTAATAATTTTGGGGTTTTAATACATATAAATTGATTTTTTTTATTTAAGAACAAAAGCATAATTTTAAATAGTCTGAAGTTTGAGGCTCGATATCTTTGAAACGGTTTGACTTACGCAAAATGTCAATCAAACCTTTTTTGAAGAGCATTAAATTTCCTGTAAGGGGTAATTTTGTCTTACTTATGAACTAGCTCGTTATCAAGTTAAAAAATTCAAAAGTTTGAAAAAAAATGTTCCCATGTTATTTAAATGGGAAATAGAAAATTACAAAACGCCACCTCTAAATATTAAAATTAAGAGCTCATATTTTCACAGGGTCGTTTTCTAGAGATATTCTGACGATTTTTCAATGTTCTTTGAAAAATGATAGTCGGTTTTTTAGACACTCTAGTAAATATGTCCAAAGTTTTTATTTTATTTTTACATACAAAGCCGTAAAAGTTTCTGGACTGTTTTTGATTGGCCACTCTGTATAAAAATACTAATAATAATTGTATTGTTTGATAAACCTGATAAAAAATATTAAAAGTTGCAAATTTATACAAATTCAAATTATACACACAATACTTAAATCTATAAATTTTCTGTAGACAAACTAGAAATCTATGTAGGTAGTAAATAGTAGTAAGGAAGTCTCGTGTCTTGGCAATGGTAACACAATACATTTGTTCCTGATTATAGGTTTGTTTGCACACAAATCGTAAACAGAACATAAAGTCTGACCAATACTGTTTTTGTTTATATTGTACAACACGGCTTTTCTTCCTTACATTTTAGTTAAATGAGTTTTACTGATAGGATAAATTTTGTGTTTGTTCGCACAAAAACCAATTAAATGCAGGATTTTAGCTCTAATTAAATAAATTATTTTTGAGGCATGGTTTTTATATCAAATTTTGTAAACATATTGTAAAGTAAACTCCATATTGAGACTATGGACAATCAAAGACAGAAAATTCATTTTGACATTGTTTTTTTATTTTAAAATAGAATATTTCGTCGAGTTACTGTAAGAATAAGATGACTCTATTTTTCAAGTTTTTGAAATACCTATAATTGTTTCTGTTAAACCGATTAATGTCGAGCGCAACAAAAATGGTACAACTCCATTTTTAGTAAATAGACCCAATGAAAATAACTTACAAATTGAATTTACTCAAAAAAGTGTTTTGGGAGTCTGGTTTTTGCAATAAATCAACATTTCTATTAATTTTTATTAATAGGTTTAAATTGGACACTTGTGATTTTTATTTCGGCAATGAATAGCGCATTAAATTTCTTGTATTTTATATTTTATGACAAAAGTCGTAAAAGCACAACTTTAGTGATACCATGCGATAGGTTCCCTGGAAAAATCAATAAAGATTGTCATAGATAATTCAAAGTTAAATTGAATACATGTCGGATTTATTATTAGCTAAATTTTAATTATCATTGTCAGCAACTAATTATCATGTTTTATCTATAAATTGTTTGCACCAATTAGGATTAGGAACCTTAATTGTTAATGCATATATCCATTGTGTCAACTTAATTTTGAAATATACTACGATATGAAAACAAAATGTTTATACAGGGTGTTCTACGCGAGAGGAATGATTATAATAAGACTGCTATATAAAATTTGATGTTTTTATTTTTTTATGGTAGTTACGTTTTTGTGCTAATTTTTTTCCTATCACGTACTGTTTTTTCTGCACATTGGTTCTGGGTAACAGAGAACCTCTGTTATCAGTATCGGTACGGGAGGATAACTTTTTTATTTTCTTACAAGGAAAATTGTAATTTAAAGATTTTGCCATTTGTAAAAAGCTAAATTATCAACACTTAACATACATTAATAGTATATTATTAGACGAGAGATAATGCGATAATATGTTTGAGGTATTCTAGTAGGCATACAGATTCAGTTGCTTTGACATTTAGTATGCTTATATGTATGGGTATCTTTTTTATTTGAAGATCTACAAGGTCGGTTAAATTACTCTCTATAAATGAATGAGTCAAAATTGACTAATTACTACATTTATTAGTGACTGCTTTACACTTATACCATGGTTAACCATGTGATACCATGGTATCCCAACATTTAACAGCCAATTCTTATGTAAAATGGTCCCCTGAATCCGAAAATACCGTCAAAAATTATGAAAGTAAAGCAATTTTTGAGATATAGTCAATTCCATATTACATGAAATATTGACTATATCTAAAAAACTGTTCTACTTTTCCAACTTTTGATGACATTTTCGGATTCAGGGGACAATTTTACATGGAAATTGACTGCTAAATGTTCGGGATACAAATTGCTTTTGACGAGAATTATTAGCGGCTGCTTTTTCGCCATGACAATTAGTCATTTTGACTAATTCATTTTTAGAAAGTAGAGAAAAGTTGCATAATTATGTCAATTAAAATTGCCTTTAAAAACTGAGGAAAAATTAGTGGTTCTTGATAATTTGAAAAAAAACTTGTCAAAATCTTAATTCCTGTAAATTTAAAAAAGTAAGTTTTACTACATACACATTTATCCATATTTTAATCCAATTTGTAATTTTTCAACTAGATTTTGAGATATCACCACCATAATTTGTTTTTCCTATGGCCGCCATATTGGAATTTTACTGAATTATAATACGGGGTGTCCGCTTTTCACTGAGAATGCGTATTTCGCATTTGAAAGCTAGCAAAGCTTAAAAATGTTGTGAATTAAGAAAGGGAAAAAGATTGCAACTTTTTCCTAATTAATTAAACCTTCAACTTTGTATATCTAAAGATAAGAGAGCGCAAATAAATCCCCCTTGTTTAAGGACTGGATTGATAAATTTGACATTTTTGACGTAAAAAAATGTGCTTAAAATGCTATCAAAACGTCAAATTTTTTCAATAGGAAGTGACACAAGGTTTTTGCAAGATGATCATAACCACTTATTTTTTAGATTCTGTGCAGGGTTTAGATTTATCCCCATTTTTTTTTAGGTATTTCTACGTTTATTAGGTAA